TATATATATATATATATATATATATGTTTTTAATTTATACCAGATAACTACTATACAGTTAAGTTAGTTTAATTTTTATTTTTTATTTTTTTTCGAATTAATATTAATATGTAGTTTAATTTTGATTGTAAAGATAAATAAAATTATTATTAATTTTGTATGTATAATATAGATGTAAAATCGAAGATCATCAAGATATGATCAATTTGATATATTATATATAAAAATTATTAATATGGAAAAAATTTATAAAGTTTTAAATATATTAATAATTTAAGTTAGTAAATATGTTATAATCTTATAAGAATATGAAGAAAAAAGAAAAACTGAAAATAATTATACCTTACAATCACGTTCACAATAAGAAATAATATTAAAAATAAATAATACTCTTAAAAGAATCATAAATATCCACTATATTTATGGATATTCCAAACCTAGTTAATTTTGGATTGCAAATAAATAAAAATTCATCCAAGTCAAACAACAAAGTTTAAAAATTTGTACATAGGATCTTGAAGCGTGCCAATTATTAGACTTAACACATTCGAACATTATATATAGGAAATTTTACAAAAAATTGTTTAATTGTGTAATAAAAAGGGAAATGTCTAATGTGGGGGTAATTTTGGCTTCTTATAAACGGTTCGTTTTATGGGCCGGAAACAGTTCATAGTATGGGCCTAACCATTATGAAATAGTAGATGCGCTTCAAGAGTCCACATCTAAACTGAGGAGCCCAATTCTCAAACTAACAGCAAAATACTCATTTGATAGCATTTGTTCTACAAAATTCTTCAAACACTGCACAATTTCCATTTCATTTTCCAAATCTGTTCATTTTTTTCGTTTCTGGCGCTCGTGATTTTTGTCCTCTCGAACTCAGGTAACAATCTGTTTGTTTTCTGTAATTTTATTAGGTGTTTCAATTTGTGATGCATCTAGGGTTTGTTTTTTTCACCGATTGCATACTTTGGTGATGGATCTGATTTTTGATTGCCTGTTTTAATTTTCACCTGTTATTGGGGTGTGCTGCTAAATAGCATAAATTGGATCCATCCATCGTTTGGCGATCAGCGGATAGCGGATAGCAGATTATATTAGCTGAGTTGACGAGCGGATTGTATTAGTGGTTTTTAGAAGTGTAATTTTTTTTAAAAGTCCTTTTTTTGTTTTTGTTTTGAGATCCTTACACTATTGATTTGGATTTGTGTAGCAGATGAGTTTTGTTTACATAGATATGTTTTTAATTCCCATTAACATATTGAGGGAGTTGTATTTCTAGTTTTCTTAGTATTCTGGTGTTGAAACATTAGATTGTATGGTTTTTAGATTCTTGATCAACAGGCTGAACAGGTTCTGTCCACCCTTGTTCTCTTCAAGAAGAAAAAAAAAAGGAAAAAAAAAGGAATAAAATGTAACGAGTGTGTTTCTTGGAATATTCGTACCTTACCAGATGTGGAGATTTTCTTGTTTGTAATTTCTGGGTGAAGAAAAGGAAATAAGAAAGGAAGAAAGAAAAACCGGATGATTGGTAAAAGAAAATGGAGAGAGAGAGAGAGAGAGAGAGAGAGAGAGAGAGAGAGAGAGAGAGAACACTAATCTCTGCATACTAATGTAGGGGGTATTCGGAAGCTGACCATTTGTTATATTAATTTTTGCTTGAATACTCGCCAAATACATTATACATCCTCATTGTCAAGTATTGTGGTGCCCTCGTTCAAGTTCCTTGTTGCAAATTACTTTCTGCATTTCTATCTGATTGTGGTTTGTGTTTATGACGATTTATGTTTAACCACATGTTTCTTGTAAAACCTGTTTCTTTGTGCAATTGCGTCCCATTCTTGATTATGTTATGTGAAAGCTATTTGCACGAATTATGTATTTTGAGTATTTGTTGCTTCTAGTATACATTTCAGTATACTGAGAAGTAAGGACAGTTTAGAATTTTCTATTAGTTTGTGGCCAATAAATTTTACTGCGATGTTCCTTTGAATCAATGAAGCGCTCCACAAATTATAAATTCAGCTTCATAGCCTTTTTTATGATAGCCCACAGTTCTTGGTTCAAATGAATCCCGCGAAACTTTTGCAGTCTTGCTCACTTTGAAGTTTCTAGTTTCGACATATGTTTTTATCTCAAATCATGCACGGTTTGTTAATTAAGAATTGACAAATCCATTCAGGATGACTGAAACACCTTTTCGGCCTAGAGAGAAGCTTCTTGAAAAGCAGAAGTTTTTCCAGAACATCCACAAGCATACGTACCTGAAAGGACCAATGGACAAAATCACCTCAGTGGCCATTCCTTTGGCTTTGGCTGGTTCCTCTTTGTTTCTTATTGTGAGTTCATTTTCTCCTTTCTTATCCATTTTTTGCCTTTATGCACATATAAGCTTCAAAAAATTGTTCTTGATTGGCGATTGATGTCCAGGGGAGAGGTATCTATAACATGTCTCATGGAATCGGGAAGAATGAATGAGGATATGTCTTTTTTTCTTCGACAGGGCCAAATTGAAGCTTCTATTATGAAAGTCCATAATCTGGAAAACGGTTTTTGTTATTATGGTTTGCATTTCAATTGCTAATAATTTCTGAATGCCGACATTCGATTTGTGGATGTGTTCTGTTCGTCGTCATATCAACAGAATAATACTGCTTAAATGAGTTTGATTCTGAAATCTTGATTCTGTTTTGTAATGGGAATTGAATGATCAACTTACTGGAGTTTGATATGTGTTCTCAGCAGTTTCTAGTTGCTTGTTTAATGTGGCAGTTTTGATTTCAGAAGCTTAACTTGTGGGGAACTAAAGCAAGGAAAAACATAGTGAGTGTGCTGCTCCTAAGAATTTTGTGAGGCAGCCTAATGAATATGCGGGTTGACTCGTCACACTATTTGAACAAAAAATACTTATTTTAAGAAATGTCATACTTTAAGCGAGTTGACCCATTATGTTTCTTTAACAAAAATGAGCAATGTAATACTTTTATGCATGTTGTCTATTGTTTTTAAAGTATGTCATTTATAATTGAAACTATGTATATCTGTTGAAAAATAACGACAATTTGCCTAGTAACAGTATTCTAGAAGTTGCTCGACTAGTTACAAACGCCTAGGCGGTGCCCAGAAAATAAGATTAAATATTTTATTTTTTATTTATTTTCACTACTTACAAAAATACATGATAACATAATAATACAATTAATATTTACAAATAGCCGCAGAGTCCGTTGAGGAGCGCCTCGGGCTGCCAAGGTTTAAGGTATCTTCAATCATGTTATTTATCACTAATATTTATTAAATGAATTTTTATATTTTATATAAAAAAAAGTCTCTAAGTATTAAGAAAGATTGAGATTGGAAGCATATCTCAAATTTCAGGTTTTATATGTTATCGACCCAAATTAAGTAAAAAAAGACTCCCATTGTAACGCCACAATCGAAAGATATAGTAAGGATGCGTTTGGTTGGCCGGATTTGGAGGGATATCTAGCCTATTGTTATTATTTTAAGCCTATAAAAATGTTTGGTTCAAACAATAAAAGTCCGTTAAAATAGAATGACCCGGTTAATTATTAGCAGCTTTTAGTATTAGGTATCCCACCCATGAGGTGGGATGTATAATCCTATTCTATTATTTATCTAAATTTACAAAATAACCCTAGTTTCTTATTTTTTTTCGTCTCTTCCAGTCTACCTTCTCATCTTCTTCTTCTTTTTTTTTTCGTCAACAGCAACTTCGCCCTTCTTCTTCCTTTCTTAATTTTTTT